TAGCGCTTTTCAAGATGCTCAAGGTCACTTTATAAAATAGGTAACAACAAAGCAAAATGAAATCAAAATATTTAACATAAACCACTGGAAGCACTCGTGAGCTGAGACCATGACGGGTCAGACAGAATTTCCCTTCTGGGATAAATAAAGTATTTTTCATTCATCTGTTCTTTGCCCATTTACATATTTATGGATGGACCCAGACATAACGATTTCATGTTGACGGCTGTAAATGTGGCATTAATGATAAATAAATGTTCCCAGGCAGCAGGATTTACTTTCATGGGTTCAGTGTTATCTGTAAACTAACCCATGCAAACTGACTCTATCTCACTAATAAATCAACAAATCTCTGTTTGTGTTTTGCGTCTGTTCTTTGTTTTTCTTAACAGCCACACATCTGATCCACTTCAGCCTTGGTGGATGTGTTGCTGGGTACCTAATAAAGTACAGTGTCTAGTATGAAGGACTTTGGCGGTTCTTGAGAAACAAAGAAAGATGAAGCGGGGACGGGACGACTTAGTGACTTGGCCACAATCATTTAAAGCACTTTGTTGAAACTCCAGCCACTAACGGTGTTGTTTACTTTTTCTCCCAAACCAAGCAGGATACAAACCGTTCATATAATCAACACACAAATGTCTCCTGTTGGTAGAAGATGTTTCTTCCTCGTCCCCAAATACAAAATTATTTCTGCACTGAGCCTGAAACTTTAACGTGACTCATTTAACTGTGCAGTTTATTACCATTACTTTTCTATCAGTCATTATTGTTGCTGTTATTGATATTATTATTGCTGTTGCAGGGCCTTAATGTCCTGTTTGTGGTAGTCAGCACCGACCTGGGCTCTAATTGTTCTCCAAGGACCAAAGAGATAATGACCTGTTGACCGCTACTTCGCTCAAATTCGTGACAAGCAATTAAAGTAAAAGTTTCTCCGGCATCGAGAGTGTTTGTAACAACACAACACGTTGGATCGGTTTGAAGAGGTAAACTGGAGAACATCCCACGAGTCCGGCTCACTGTGGGGTCATAATTAGCTGCTGGCTGTAGTCGGACCGCCCCCCTCCCCCGAGGCCTGGACTGTTGTTTACCACAGTGCAGGTTTCCCACTTGGGAGGTGGCAGGAGAGGACACTCATGGCACTCATTACAGCATCCTTACATCAGCTCGGAGTTTTATTGCTCCGGATTACGAATCATAAAAGTGCCTCAGGAGGCCGATTTGGTAAATAAAGTGCTAATTCATTCCTTTGAGGCTCACACACAAACCACAGCAGCTCTTCACTTCACTTTTAGGACGTGCTTTTGCCAACTTTATGACCTGTTTGACCTCCTAAGATTTACAGCTCTACGTGAACAACTCTGACATTCTCACTATTTCATCACTGACAGAAGGGAAAGGGAAGTAAAACGCAAGAAAACTGGTAAAACAGGTTCACAATAGTTCTACAGTCGTCCTGAAATGTATTCGTACATTTGAATACATTTACATTCATCCCATTAAAGAAGGAAACAAACAGCTGTAATGAGTTGAAATTGACAAAAGTAATAATAAATCATTTTTAAAAATTAATGAAAATCATGACGTTGCTTTTGAATTGTGGTTCAACAGAAATGTAAAAAAACAACAACAGCAAAAACACAAACCAGCATGATGGAACCCATAAACTAATATTTAGTTGAACAACCCTCTGAGCCAATCACTGCCATCATCAGGTGTTTCCTGTAACTCTCAGTCAGATTTGTGCACCTGTTGACAGGTGTTTGGATTTCACTGCTCATCAGCAAAGGGCTCTCATTTGTCTGGGACAGTTTTGTTTTTTTAAATTATTCTTTTCAAGCACAATTCAAAAGCAATGTCTTATTTCACTAAATTATTATTTAGCAATTTTTTATTTATTACTACTTTTTTCGGTCTCTTGTTATTTGAGTGACTGTTGTGAATTTTGCCTTTTCTTTAACGGACAGATAGGAATACATTTGATTATATCCCTACGACTTTTTACAGTGTAAAACCTCTGATCACCGGTGAGGTGTGTGAAGCACAGTGGATGGAGAATTTATGACTTCATGTCCAAATCAGAACACCTCTAAAGTCCAGCAGCCACTACGTCATGTGCAACTCTGTTAAATGTGAATTATAAACGGTGTGGACGACTGAGAATGTCCTCATGCAAGCGTTTGTTTAAAGTCTTGTCTGTTTTGTTGGCACCTTGTGGTGCTGTAGTGAACTGCAGTCATTTAGGCCGCACCAAGACGACTGCAGACATTGTGTTCATGGTTAAATGATGACATTTAAGCCACAAATACCCCCTCGCAAAAGCAAAAAGCATGAATGAGCCCTGCGTGATCTATGAAGACACAGAAAAAAACACACTGTCAAAATTAAGATGCAGCAACTGAGTTGGGCACCTGAAAGTAAAGTCTGTTCTAAAAACTATATCCAGAACTGATTAGGGTGAAGCCCAGACTTCTTAATCCCATCACTATGAAACCACACAAGATGACAGAGAACCGCAGCCATCAGCTCAGTTTCATTATTTTAATCAATATGCGACCCAAATCAGAATCAACAATATCTCAGAGACGGAGCTCCAGCTGAAAATCAGAAACTAATTCTATCTCAGTATCCAGATAAAAGAAAACTAGAAGCTCGCTGCTACGGAAGAACAACTTCCAAATAATGTCGGTTCAAGAAAGGATGACTTCAGTTCATTTGAGTTCAGTTTTGAGAGGCGTGTATGAGTTTCTGAGACGTATGGGAGTGCTGGTGAAGAGCTGAAGGGGAAAGACGAGAGTGAGCAATCATGCATGAGTGAAAACAGAGGAAAACTAAAACTAAACAACTTGTCCTAACCAGGTTCCAACAAAAGGTGCAGACATAGAGGGGAAACAACACGTATCCAGTCCTGCTCCTGGGATCAGCTTATATCCTGAAAACTACTCCAAAACTACTCCGTTTGCTTGAATATATAACTATTTAAACCAACTATTTTAAACCAACTTGAGCAGAAAATAGAATCTCGTAATGTCCTTTTTTGACATTCATCTCTCTGTGTTGTCCTCCACGCTGCTCACAGGTGTGACCTCACTTCCTGCCAGGTGGAGGAAAAACGACCTTCTGCTTGCTTTTGTGTTCTTGTTTCATTTATTCCACATAGAGATGCTCCGAAATTTCACGAATTCTGTTTTCTGAAAAGCTCAAGTCTTATTAAGAGGCTCGTCATCACGTCTCTCTTTGTTCCCCCAGACTTTGTGCAGGTTTATTCTCTTCTAGTTTTTCTCTAATCGGCTGAAGTGGCACAATCCTCACTCAGTCGGACTTTTTCATAAAATGCAAAAAGTGTAGGAGTCTCAAGGCTTTCTAAAGCAACTGGATGTGTACATGATGAGTCTAATTAATACCAAAAATCAACCCTAAATATAACATCTATCTGCTGCAAAATGTCAGCCGGAGACGTGACCTTCCCGTCCTCGGTGGCAGCTTTGGCCCAAGAATATGTTTTTTTTTAAATCTAATAGCTAAATGCTATTAAATAAAACGTAGGCAGATAAAGGAGCTTCTGGTTCGAGGTGGGTCACATGTTTTTAAAATAAAGGGGCCTTCCGGGGAATAATAATAATACATTTTATTTGTATGGCACATTTCAAAACTGGAGTTACAAGTTGCTTTACAAAACATTCAAATGTACAAAACAACAGTCAAAGCTTAGTTCTGTAGTAAAAAGGACACACTGCAACCATCATTACTTCTTTATTGTAAACGTGTGTTTTCAGACAGATTCACAGAAGTTTTTTCAAATGTTGGTTCTTACAACACAAAGCCAATAAATGATTTATTTAAAACGTACTCGACAACATCTGGAAACAGAATCGGACAGAAAAGACGTATTTTCACTCACAGAGAGATATTTGCAACCACACAGTAGTCATAAGTTTGATAATTAGCAGCTGATAATGTGTTGAATCTGTGAATATAATCTTCCGATATTTCTACTTTACAAAATGTGGCTCAACAACATTCATAGATTTAAAAAAAAAAAAAAAATCACAAACTTAATGATGTTAAATGAATCGACATCCTAGATTCATAAGAACATTTAAACTACATTAGGTCGTATTTAACGGTCTCTCCGCTGCTGTAAAATGCTGATAGATGAGCAAAATTAGCAGTTTATAATAATATATACGTATATAATTTAAACAGAGGTTAATACATTACATGAAAAAGATGAATACACAACATGCAAGATCAAGCAGATAACAGATTTACTACAAAAGTGATATTTGACACACACATGGCTGATTCTCTTCAAGTTTTTAAATGACGATGTGCACAATGTGAGGACGAATGTGATTAAATAAACAGAATGAAAAGCAGCAAATTCATCAACTATATTCTCTTCAGTACATTTCAGTCATGAAACACGTCTCCTCGTTATCACGGCAACGCAAGCGACTGCAGACGAATCAGTTCGCTCTGACGTGACAGAACAGCGTTTTGAGGTGTTTAGAAATTTCCTTCATTTTCAGTCCGTAGATAATCGGGTTAAACAGGGGATTATATATGACTATCTGCAGCGTCATCACAAAACGGGCGGTTTTTGGACGATCAGATTCTATTCTCACTATAATCAGGTCGTAAAGAAGCAAACAGGTGTAGTTGATCAAAACAAACAGGTGAGGTAAGCAGGTCTGCGCCGCCTTTTTCCTGACTTCCCCACAGCTCCGGTAAGTTATCATGAAGATCTTTGTGTATGTAAAGAGTACAAAAAGCATCGGAAGGAGTGTGACGGTAAACACACCGGCGGCACCGTAGATAAAAAGCACCTTTGAATTTGCGCAGGGAAGACGTTGGAGTGAGTTGTTGCAAAAAATACCTTTCAAAGTAAAGCCGCAGAGTTTTTGATTGATGTTCGTCATGACCGGCACCGCAACGTGACAAGCAGGCGCGAGCCAGGCCAAAAGCAGGAACGAACTGACGGTGGTTCTTCTCATGATAGTTGTATAATGCAGAGGTTTACATATGGACACGTATCTGTCGAAGGCCGTGACTGCCAGCAGCATGAATTCGGAGCAGCTTAACGAGTAAAAGAAAAACACCTGAAAGAGACACGCTTGATACGAGATGATCTGCTTTTCGGACAGGAAGTCCATCAGAAGTTTGGGGTAAATCACGGTGCTGAAAAACACGGAGTTCAGCAGCAGAGCGGCGATGAAAACGTACATCGGCTCGTGGAGGCTTTTGTGAATCATGATGAGACACACAATGGTGCTGTTGCTGCAGAATATCAGAACGTATGCCGTGAACATGATCGCAAAGTACAGATATCTGTATTTGTCTATCTCCACATGACCAGCAAAAGTTAAATAAGTGACATTGGGTTCAGTATTCATGCAGATGATCACAGATAGCAACAAACACAAAGATACAGAGAAAAGGCGCCTTCTATGACAGTCTTGTTGACTTACAGACGTCCAACACTGAAATGCGAACCCTTTTAGTCGGACCAAACATTTGTAGCTGCCACCATGTCAACACCCACAGCTCTAGAGACGTAAGCTCACAGGTATTGGATCTTGTAAACATGGGTGCACATTATTTTTCTGCACTTTCTTGATGGCGTTTTATGTAGATGTTTTGTTTTGTTTGAGCCTCTCATCTGCATGTAAACGCCACTAT